AGATCAATAAAATTAAATATATTAATATATTTAATAATATATAAAAAATTATAAAAAAATTTCTCTCTATCATTGTGTGAGTAAATACATTCTATTACATGTGGATAGGCCTATTCTATAATAATTATAATGGATGTGCTTAACCTATATTCTAAGGGCATAATTTAAAGACACAATAAATATTTTTTAAAATTATTTTGCATTAAAAATTATAAAAATTAATATATATTTTAAAATTATTGATATGTGAATAATTTTAATTAGTTAATTAATTAAATTAAAATCAAGATTTATATTTTAAATAAAAATTAATTATAAAAAAATAAATTTCTTATGTTCTTATCTTGACTCTCCCAAGGTCATGGGATAGAATTAAAAAAATCTAACTAAAATAACTTTATCTCATACTCTAAGGGCATGAGTTAGACATAGAAAAATTCAATTATAATAATTTTAATAGGACGCGCGACCGACGTGACAAAGCGCTCGACGTCGCGGGGACCCCAAATGGCCCAGATTATTCATATATACCATCAGCTGTGATAACGGGCTTGTTATTCTCACCATAGGGATGGCCAAGAGAGGAAGAGTTTCCCTAATATATTGTGCTGCAAAATATGTTATAATCGCAGCACTTTGCCTGATCATGAGGTCCGATCCGTATCCTTCCTGAGTTGCGCACATTCAGCTTCAATGGCTTCAAGTTTTTCTCGGGCTTGTTTTTGTCCTTCCTTGATGCTTTGTTGATCCTTACTGATCTCTTGCATCTCTACTTTCAACCTTTCAATGCTTTAAACTGAAAAGCATCAAGCAGTTGTGCGGAGTCTCAATAGAATCTCTCAATAAAACAGAATGAGCACATATATACACACTTTATAATGGACCATGATTGGTGCACACCCGGATCCAACACCCGGGTGTGCACCCCTCCACATAAAAAAATAAAAAAGAGAACATCCAGTTGGGTTTTTTTTTTTTTATGTGGAGGTGTGCACACCCAGGTGTTGAATCCGGGTGTGCACACATCATTTTCCCTTTATAATAACTTT